TCCTAATCCGCCTTCACGTGTTCCGGAGGCTTGTCCCACACGTAGTCAATATAGTCACCGTACACGCGTAAGAGTACAACCTTCGGTATATAATGCAGCTGCTCAGCGTTCAAGTCCTGAATGTCGAAAGGATGGACACAGCGCGAGATACATTTTGCTACTGCGTCTTGTCTTTCATCGCTGCCCAAACGGCAGCAGCGGCGGCTCTCTCGCTCAGAGCCGAATCTCTCGAGGTGACACGTTTCCGCGCCTCCTCAGCGAGTACTTTGTCTGCCGCGTGTCTATCGGTGAGATCGTTGCTCCGAGAATACGCGATGTCGGCATGCCGCGTCCAGCGGATTTATGCCCACGTCACCTCTGGCTAATCGCTTCGTAAGCCGAGTGCCTGGGCCGCAAAACTAGTAGCCCGGAATATGTAACTTGAAAGGAAGCGCGTTTATCGCTCGATTCAACAGACTGCCGCGCGACGCTGACATTCGTTACAGTCCTTTATCTTAAGTGCGGGACCGTCGATGTGCATCCCTTGCCACGGCTGATTGTAGTGCTCGCCGCAGCGACGATACGTTCGAACCTCCGAATCCGCCTTCACGTGTTCCGGAAGCCTGTCCCACACGTAGTCGATATAGTCACCGTACACACGTAAGAATACGACCTTCGGTATATATTGCAGCTGCTCGGCGTTCAAGTCCTGAATGTCGAAAAGATATCGGAAGGACACAGCGCGAGATACATTTTGCTACTGCGCGACTCGTAAATTCGCGCGCCTTTAAATAGTTATTCGAGAGCGCGTAGCCTTAGTGTGAGCATGAAATTCGTGCTGCAACCATTGTCGATACGCGTCACGAACTGCGACGCGAAATAGCGAATGATGGGAGGCAGCGTGGAGAAGCGCAAGCACGGCGAAATGCTGCCGAGTCCTATACGCGCGATCATTTGCGGCCCATCGAATTGTGGTAAAACCAACGTTCTCATAAGCTTACTCGAGAGCCCGAATGGCGTGCGTTTCGAAAACGTGTACGTCTACTCGAAATCGTTGCAACAGCCAAAGTATCAATATCTCGAAAATTTATTTACGTCTATCGACGAAATCGACTACTTTACGTTCTCCAACAACAGTGACGTCGTTCCATCGAGCGAGGCGCGTCCAAATTCTATTTTTATCTTTGATGACGTGGCATGTGACAAGCAGGATGCGGTCAAAGAACTTTTCGATGGGTCACCACGCGAACGTCGACTGTTTCTATCTCTGTCAGACGTACGCGAGGATACCTAAACATCTGATACGCGATAACGCGAACCTGCTGATCCTGTTCAAAAAGAACGGTACCAACTTGAAACACGTTTACAACGATCATGTGAATACCGACATGTCGTACGATGAATTTTGCACGTTGTGTCGCGACTGTTGGCAGCAAAAATATGAATTTCTAGTGATAGACAAAGACAGTGGGGTCACAAACGGACGATACAGAAAAGGATTTAACAAGTTCGCGATACCGTAACGTGACCAGTCGTTGCCGATACTTAGCCAGAGACGAACATGGCAGAAGTGCGCGAGCGTGAAAAAATCGCGAGGGAGATCGAGAAGACGAGCGAGTCGATCCGCAAGAAACATCGCGCTCTGAAGACCGATAAAATCGAGGAGGACATCGCGTTGAACAGACATTTTAAACCTCTTGTCGAACCGCTACGACTTTTCGTCGACAGCCCCAGCGTGTGCGCTACAAAAAGAGAGTCGCGCGACGAAGATGCAACGTCTGCCTCTAAACGTGAGAGGAAGGAGGAAGAGGAACAAAAGAAAGAGGAAGGAGAAGAAGCGAACGAGACGTTCGAGCGTTCCACGATTCTCCATACCGCGTGCCAAAATCGTACCGACGATAGAGTCGTTGGAGAACGTTTTCGACACGTTCGAGACGGAAGACTCACTAGCGACGAAAAATTAGCTACAAACGTCGGAAGGTCGAGAGGCGTTACGAACTGGCTTGGGCCCGCTGGGGCAAAAGTACGTCGAGGCTGTCCTGAGGAGAGTGCAAGATAAAGAGAGCGGTATAGATCACGTGTACGGCATTTACCTATACATGGATGGACTGATGTTTGGCAATAAACGTTTCGACATGGATGACGCGGACAACATAATTATGGGTGGCGTACGATAGGCCGGTATACGTGGTCTTTACGTTGAGTTGATTTTCAAGAGAATTCCCGACGATACCCTCTACACTGAAGACGATATGCACAAGTACAAGAGCATACTGTTGGTGAAGACCGCGCACAAAACACAACACCATTAGCAGGGACAATTAT